TAAAATTAAAAGAGAAATTTTCAATGGAGTAATAGGTCTAAGATGATCAGCAAGAAATCAGGAAATCCAGCAGTGGTGGGTTGCAGGCGATATGTCCTGTTACAGGCGGGAGCATCGGGTACTGTTCCAGTATGGTGCTCCGGAAGACCTAACTACCTGTCCGAGCTCCTTACCTGTATTTGAGCTCTTCGGCGCTTCTGCACATGGAGCACATGGCTCCTGCGCGACACTCCGCCAAGCAGCTGGAGCATCGCGGGGGCATAATGGAGGTAAGGGCGCATGCAAGCAAAGAGAAAATCCAATGCCCCACTTCCATTTTACCATCTTTTAAAACTGAAAACCCAAATCCCGTATACATCTATAGCAGCGGCCCCGGTGGTGGGATTCAATTATTTTTACTACTAGTTCTGTGAGCGTGGCTTGATGGGTGTGGCATGGCTTGGTGGCCATGGCTTGGTGGGTGTGGCAGGTGAAGGATGTTGTAAAATCTCCATTCCCTCCCCACTCCAGGGGAAGGTTACTGTAAAATCTCCATTTCCTCCCAATCAGCTGGGACTTGGGAGGCAAAGAATAGATCGGGGCAGAGCCAGTCAGAGGTGGTATTTACCGGTTCTCTGAACTACCCAAAATTTCCGCTACCGGTTCTCTAGAACTGGTCAGAACTTGCTGAATACTACCTCTAAGCTGCGGCCCTGAACCTTTTTGGGCATCAGGGATTGGTTCTATGGAGAGAGGTTTTTTCCCTGGCTCGGAGGGGGCATGGTTTCTTGTGTAGCCTGCATCCCACGTGTGTATGGATATGGGGCTTTGCTCATTTGTATGACCTGGTTTCTGGCATGTCACACACTGGTGCCAGTCCATAGTCCGTGGTTGGAAAAACCTTATCTATAGCACCCAGCAATTGCAAAAAATTGCTTTCCTTAATCTCAGTTCAATAGATTGCAGTCTGTCTTTCCAGCATGTCCTTAGATTTGCTTCTTGCAATCCACAATTGGGCAACTGTGTGTGAGAAAGGACCATGTTTCCAGACATTTCTGCTAAGGTTGCTATAGCAGCCTCTTCTTTACTGTACGTCATCTCCATCTACAAAATGTAGCCGAAAAACAAAGCAAGTCTCCTGTAACTTTGTGGCTTGGTGAAGATTCTTTCCATGCTGTAAGGTAGTATTAGAATTATCTATGGATGGTAGGCAGAAGGCAGTTCAGTACTGTGTAATTTGACAAGACCTTTCGGTGCACTGACTGTGAACTACAAGGTTAATAATCTCTTCCTGTTGAGACCACAGTGCTTTTCTACTTGTATAGAAACTGACAGTCATTCTGGTATGGAATTCGTTAATGCAATACTAGATTGCGGTATATACAGGATATTCTTTCACTTGCCAGCCAATCCGTCTGTGTATTAATGGCAGACAAATATTTCATTTTCTGGATTTCATTAATTTTCTTGTACGCAATGTTCAGCTCATCCTTAATAATGAGTTTTGTGCTTTTTGGTGTGCTATTCTATTCACAATATGATTTGCGCAGAAAACGGTACAGCAAAGGGGCTCCAAGGCCTGCATGCAGGAAATAGAGGTTACACCTATCCTCCGCGAGCTGCACTGGCTACCTATTAGTCTCCGAATCCGCTTCAAGGTGCTGGTCGNTTAGCGTGATTTTAACCTCGTGGTTTTCTTGTCATGGTTTCGTCGGCGCGCTTTTGTCGAGCGCGCATTTGTCGGTGAACCATCACAGAAAACAGGGACTAGCAAGTGTTAGCTTAAAGTTTTATCTTCAGCAGAATCAAATGGCGCCTCTTTTCCTTAGATAATTAAGTCTGCAAGGAAACATCAGTTTGCATTCTAATTTAGAAAAGCGGAAGATATAACAAGATGTTGCTCTCCTTACCTTAAGAACATTTGACATTTTAAGTTTTTCAAGTAGCCACTGAGCATGCTCATTCTTCATTGGACTATTTTCTTCCTGGGTTTAGTTTTTTTCTATGGTAGGTCTTCCCTCCACCTAATGTTATTTGGCTTACTTTTTAATATGGGCACCTATCCAATAAAAACAGGGTGTAGTATGCAATATTGAGTTCATTTTCTAGTAACAACCCTAATTCAATTGCGTAAGGTTAATGTAATCTAGCCCAGAAATTCCCAATTACTCATTCTGAATTTTTCAGAAACATATTGATATACTTTGTCCTCTAGTAAAGCGATAACCATGCAATTTTCCAGCATGAAAAATAGCAAGGATAGTTATCTCTGCATCCATATTTCAAGCCCTTCTGCTTCCTGGCAACCTGTCAATCAAGTGATTGACAAACTGCCAAGAACAGGGTGGCAGTTCCTATAAGAGGTCACAGTGATGGCTATCGTGGGCCACACATTACCTGCGAGTTTGTGAAGTATCTTATCAAGGGTCGAAGAGACACATGATCTGCCTAGTAAAAAGCAGCTTCCTTTGATAAATGTTTTTCTCCTGTTATTTGTCCAGGTCTGGGAAATTGTGAAGCTGTCAGATGCCTAGGAAAAAAACCACACCCATCTAAAGCTATTGAATTGTGCTTGACTTGATGGATCACCAATCACCTTGAAACCCTGGATGCACCAACTTATTTCCATTATCATATTCATTATACTTTTCTTTTCTTGTCATTAACCGCCACTTTTCTTCCTCTGTGTCACATATCATCATGAAGGTCCTGATATCTGGGCACTGACTGGTACCAGCTCAAGTTTGCCGCTTTGGTAGAAGCATTGCATGTCTGTAATTTTACCTGGAAAGATCTCTGCTATGAAGTTGGATGCTGTTCAAAGTACTGTTGTATTGTTGCTTCCCATTAAAGAAGAATGTTTCTTTTCTCTTGCCAACTTTTTCTGTACACCCAATGAGGTTTAGAAGAAGTTCCAGGTGAAGCATTTTTTGGTGCTGAAAGCCTAAAACCAAGGACATTCTTTTGAGAACTACTTCATGTATCCTAAGGGATTCAACTGAACTGAATACAAGATTAAAAGATGGGACCTTTATTCAATGTTAACATGCCTTTAATATATTATCAAACGTGCTCTTGAAAGGCATGGTTAGTCTGCATGTTGAGATTATAAATGATTGGCTCTAAAGGGAGTCTTGAAAGAAGGCATCATAATAATTTCTTAAATTATTTTAATTTTAATTGGCAAAATTAACCTAAACAAACTATTCTCACATTCTTGGTCAAAGTTTTCAAAATCTAACTTTTTAAAGATTTTCCTTCTAGTCAGATTTGCTCAACAGATGTTGAAGTAGATAATGGTGACATTTATGAGATGACATTAAAGNTTTGACTAGATCTTCAAGATCCCTTGCAATTCTTTGATTTAAAAAGAATTTTCTTGGTAACGGTGGAAAATACAGTAATTGGGAAACAATTATAAATTTCTAACAATTATGATATAACTAAGCAATAGTTTGATCCATTTAATTCTCTTTCAAATGTATTCTTTTTTAAAAGTTCCTAACTGCAACTGAATTGAAGCTACGATCCTTTGAAAGCTTCTGCTGTTTTCCAAGAACTTTCCTTCCCTCTGCTTTAGAAGGCCTTTCTTTCCTAAAGCATCTCCACCATGCCATCTACCCTCCCGGGCCTTAATCTTGACGGTCGCGCCTAAAACTGCAGACTGCTGCTGCTCCGAAAGCGCGGTCCTCCCTTCCAGTTCTACTGCCCTCGCGGGCGTGGCCGGAGGCGATAAAGCGAGATATTTTCTGCCGGAAGCCTCACTTGCTGCCTCGTTGCACTGCGGATTGATTGAGCCTTCGCCGACGCCATGCCCAAGTGTCCTAGTTGTCAGAAGGAGGTCTATTTCGGTAAGGGAGAACTACTGCCCCTTCCTCACTTCAGGACAGATGCAGCCGGGATGGAGAAAGCAAAGAAGGGACCAGCTATCGGAACCAATTCCGAAAAGCATCTGAGAGACTAAAATATAAGGTCTTCCCCGCAGCAGGCGTTGCGTGTGAATCAAGGCTGATTCAGAACAGAGATTCCCGGGGCTGGTAATGGCTAATCTCGAAGTAGAGAGAATTTGGCGCGCTAGAAGAGCGCCCCAGATCCTGGGAGCTCGCTGTAGTATCTGAGCTCGAGGTCTTCTGTACAGCATAGAGAACTTGGGAGACGCAATTTCGATTAGGAAAAGGGGACCGGCTTCAACTTCTACTATGTTTTTCTCGATTTCTCTATAGTTTTGTTGTTGTTGTAATCTGATCCTAACTTTTTGGTGCATCTCAGTGCATTGAGAATTATTGTCTCACACATTTGCACGCGCCACTAAACGATTTTAGTATACCAGTCCTTAGATTCCATACTTTGCACTTCTAGAACTTTAAAACGTGTCTTTCCTTTCTTAGAATAATAATTTGGTATTCCAACTCCAGCGGAGGTTGCACAAGAATAAATAAAAATGAGATCCAGACAGCTGTGAGGAAAGAAGAAATATTTATTCCTAAAAGCAAACCGTTTGCCTTTAGGGGAAGTCCAGAGAAATGGGGCACAGCAACCCAGTCTAATAGGGAGCTTGTCCTGGGTGTGGAAGTGCTGATTCTAGGGTGACACTTGAGGGTGTGTGTGTGTGTGTGGGCATATCTATGATGTTTATTCTTGGGAATATGCAGTTCTGTTGGGAGACCTAATTTAATTAACTCTAATTGTGTTTGTAGACCTTATCCTTTGATATGTGGATTCGGTCTGGGTAATTTGGAGGCTTGAGGAAATTTGGGTAAAATATTTTCCGTTTGCTATTTTTACTTGATTAATTTAGTTTCAGCTTGACTCTCAATTACGGTATTTAGTGGAGACACTGATTCTCAGACCATTGTGGAATCTCTTAATATTTTAATAGAAAATGGAAACAGTATAAAGAATAAAATA